GCTAGCGTCCGCGAGATTTGACCATTCAATGCTGGCGTCCTAGCGTCCTATTACCATGGAGGACAAGAGCGCAAAAGACACGGACAAGTAGAAGAACAAGAAGAAGTAGAAGAAGAATACTTGTTCATGTCTTTTGCGCTCTTGTCCTCTATAATGCTTTACCAACTAGCCCAGAAGTTAATTCTGATACGTCCTATCGTCCACTATCCAGGGGCGTAACGTGGCGTCTCTCAGTGTTTTTCGGTGTTCCTCAGCGTCTTTCTGTGGTCACGAAAAGAGCGCTGTAAAGGACAGAATTCGATGCAGAATGAAGATTCAACCTGAAAATATCTGATTTTTCTCACCAGGGATACTGCTCAAAACTTGAGAGTTACAAGCCTATTTCCGAAGTTTGCATTTGAAATGTTTAGAAAGTTTTAAAGGGATACTACAACAATATTTAAAATATTCCCGTCGTGTTTAAAAATAGGTTGAGTATGATCCACAATATCTGTAAATGACAATCGCACGTTTGTACATTGAGCCTAATGGCTGTATTTTCGTTATAAACGGCCCACTCTGGCAAGCGCTCGGAGAAGGCCCAGCGGAGACCACGTGACATCCAACGCAATCGTGACGTAGGTCGTCTCAAGACGAGCAAAGCTACGGCGAGGCTGACGTTGAGAGGATGGCCTAGTCGTTCCAGCCACTGAAGCGGCTGCTTTTGTACGAATTTTGAGCGACGGGTTAATCTTCTATAATCTTGTAGGGGGACAATAGCGACTTCTGCGACACACAAAAGGCATTCCCGGGAAGAGGGGAGTTCCTCCTTCCCCTCTTCTCTCGTCGTGGCCGGAGGCGAGACACTCACCGTCACTAGCTGTCAAGGTTCCTAGACGAGCATTACAAACGAGGCGTTAGCGACATCCACCAGGTGCTCTTTGCTAATCGTTTAATTCTTTTTAAAATTACTTTTCGAGACTTTTTTAACAAAATATTGGTATGTTCGATGTGATACTGCTCCTTTGAACACATATAGACCAAAAAATGAGCGCCAAAATTTCGTTGTAGTATCCCTTTAAACATCATTAAGGTTAAAATTTGAAAAACTCGGCTTTCGACACCGCTGAGGTTTGAATTTTTCTTAAAGGAGGTACTTTTCTTTTAAAACCGTTTGCAGAAGCCAGATGAAAGGTAGGCTGGGTGCCGAAGCCACCCAAAAGCGATGATTCCGCGCTTTAGAAGCTAATCATTGGTGGCACGATCCACTAAGTGAAACTCCATTGCAATTTTCAGTCGACCCCATACATTCATATTTGTGTTACTAATATTTCTCGCCTTTTTTTCTTTTTCTTAATTTTGGCCCGGTGTTTGTAGGCCACGAGCCCCTTGGTTTTATTTTATAGTCAGTTACAGGCACTGTGACTGGTTTAGAGTGAAGTGGAGCAGTAGGAAATTGTTTATTTAAACACTGGCAGGATAGCAGACCTTTTCTCTCCTAGGGAAAGGGGAGACGATAATAAGCGTAGTTTTCTCCGCTACACCCTTATTTTGTCCCGTTTTCTAACTGATGATTTGTGGTAGCTGCCATTTTGTTTCAAGGATGAAGCCATCCTTGAAGCAGTTACATGTCTCCATGTAGCAAAAAATAGACTTGTCCCGCTGTTCATTTTTTTTTGTCATCGGCAGTATTGTGAACTTGACGGCTTTTCGAACTACATTTTTAGAAAGGACGCTATTTCCCTAGGTAAAGTGAAATTCAATGAAAGGGTATTCGATGTACGCTAGAGGTTCAACTGGTGCTAGAAGCAGAAAGAAACCAGTCAAACATTGACTTCTGGCAGTACACTTTTATGGGGAAAAAAAGTGTATTTTTCTCCTTGCGCTCGATTATAAGAGCAAATATCCCCTACAATTCGTAAGTACTATACTCCGCGACAACTTTTCTTGGCAATGCAGTGGAAGGTACAGGCCTGCGTCCCCTCTCCCATTTTGAGTGTGCGAGGGCATAGAGTTATAATGTACGCTAGAGGTTCAAGTGGCGCTAGTGTGCTGACGCAAATTGAAGCAGACAGCAAGCAGTCGACAATTGACTTCCGGTAATGCATTTCTATGGGAAAAAGTGAGTGCATTTTCTTTCTGCGCTCGATCATAAGAGAAAATATCCCAAATAATTCATACGTACTAGGTAGCTTGGAACATTTCTCAGTCAGGCCGACGAAATAATTGGTCAGTCGCGGTGTTTTTCTTTCAAATTCATATCGCATTAAAAACGGTGCTAAAACAGCTTCGTACGTGTATTTATGTGCACTGTCGGACACTGTTAGCGCGAACACGACGTCGGAGCTTTTCAGCGTGGGGGATATATGTGCCAAACGAACGAAGAACATCTGGAAATTAAGAAAGACGGCAAGAACTACGCAGTAACACCGGATCAGTAACTACACGTGCATATACGATCAAAATTAATTGAAGGCCACGTAATCTATTCCTTTTTTAAATAAGTAAGTACCGTTTTTTTCTTTCTGCTCTGAGCGAAGCTGCTGTTCTGCGTTCAAGATATCACTCGCACGCTCGAAATCTTTGAGAACAAGTGCCCGATAAAAGCTGCTCGGCAGAGAAAACACTACGAAGAGACAACTTTTATAGCCCACGGACTTTATTCTCTACGTTTTGAATGTTTTTATCCGCTCATGCACGACGGGGTCATTTTTATATAGTGACAGGACTGGCATATTATCAATATATAAGCGTCACCGGATTGCTGGCGAGCCTTGAACACACTCTACATTCCTTTCGATTGTAATTTTGCTTCGAATTGTCGCTTGTTTCTACACACCTGCTGCGGAACACACGTTTGGGACTGAAATGTAGCGAAGTGAAACATCGGTCACTGATGAAGAAAAATGCGCTAACTAAAGCAATTACACTTTTACAGTGTTAATCAAGGTACATACTATTCGGTACAAACCAAATAACCAAAGTGTTCCGTGTTATTTTCCGGCGAAAAGACAAAATGCACGCGCGCTTTCCCATAGGAATACACAGGAAGACTGGAAAAGTAGACTGGTTGCTGTCTGCTTCAATTTGCGTCACGGAAGTCGCATAGACACTAGCGCCAGTTGAACCTCTAGCGTACATTATAATAACTATGTGCGAGGGCTCTCCTCCTCTCCCCGGAAATGGGGGAGGAGGAGAGCCTGCGTACACTCAAAATGGGAGAGGGGCGCGGGCTTGTACCTTCCACTGCATTGCCAAGAAAAGTTGTCGCGGAGTATAGGTATATATCTTGGAACATTTCTCAGTCGGGCAGTCGAAATAATTGCTCTGTTACGGCGTTTTTCTTTCAAACTTGTCGCATTAAAAACTGTGCTAAAACGGCTTCGTATACGTACATTTTTGTGCACTGTGGGCACTGTTGGGGCAAACATGACGTCGGCGCTTTTCAGCATCTGGAAACCAAGAGAGACGGCGAGAACTACGTAGTCACCCAGGATCAGTAACTAGCCGTGCATGTACGATCAAAATTAATTGAAGGCAGCGTAATATCGGGCTTTAAATAAGTACTTCTTTAATTCTTTGTGCTCTGCGCGAAGTTGCTTGTTCTACGTTCAAAATATATCACCCGCTCGCTCAAGATTTGTGAGACCGAATGCCCAATAAAAGCTGCGCGGTAGATTAAGAGAAGGTTCATTGACCAGATATTTTATTCTTTACGCTTATGTTTTTATCCGCTCATAATTGCACGACGTCCATAGCGTCACCGGATGCTGGCGAACCTTGAACGCACTCTATATTTCTTTCGATTGTTATTTTACTTTGAATCGTCACTTGTTTTTACACACCTGCCGCGGAGCACATGTTTGGGACTCTAATGTAACAAAGTTAAACATCGTTCGCCGATAAAAAAAAAAAAAAAATCTAACTATAAGAGCAATTACTTTTACAGCACTTTTACAATGTTAATCAAAGTAAGTGTTCCACGTTATTTTCGGGCGAAGAGACAAAATGCACGAGCGTTTTAACATAGGAATGCACAGGGGCTCCGCAAAAGTTGACTGGTTGCTGCCTGCCAACGTTACTAAAACACTCAGTTGGGAAACTCGCCGTCGAAACCTGGGCCGCTGGCGTCCACCGAGACCGAGCTAAATGCGACAACAGCGCCACTCTTTATCGTTTGTCTGTACTGTGGTCACCTTGAGCTTCTTGAAAGCCTGTTTTTGCGCAAAAACAAACGAAAAAGACTCTTTTTGTATGAAATTTATTGGAGTCTAGTACAAAAAGAGGGGCGCGTTATGTTTTTAAAATCTTTAGTTTGCAGGGTTTTGCGGCACAATTAATATTGTTTTTATACAACCATGCCTCAGCGGGCCTTTCAGGTAGCACGTCCCGCCCTAGGTGCATTTTAACTTCGGTAGCTCAACGCGGCGCGTCCGCTGGGGAGACGGGGGTGGCACCCCTGTAACCTCTACCGCTGTATCTGTTCTTAAAGCCAAAATAGAAGTCATGTGCAGTTTGTCGAGTGGCCGCTGCAGGAGAAATGGTGGCGTTGTGTTCGTCATTAGCTCGGTGCTCGGAGACAGTTTGGGGCCACTTTTTCAAAGCTCTCTCTATGAGAGTTTCCCAACTGAGTGTTTTAGTAACGTTGCTGCCTGCTTCACTTTGCGCCACTGATGTCGCATACCTCTGATTAAACAAAACCGAAACCCCCCCCCCCCCCCCCCCCCCCCCAAAAAAAAAAAAACGTATTTATTTTTTTTGGCTAGATAGGTGGCGCAAGTCATCGCCCGTTTCAGAGGCTGTTCATTGCATTCATTTATCCACCGGTCATTTAAGAGTCGAACGAAAATGGACTCACCATCCGAGACAGGATTCAGGAGTTCGATGTATTCAACGAACAGGTACTGTTTTAGGCGTATCTTTCAGTTTACAAACGAAATCCTGAGGTAATAGAGACTTTTATAAAACCGTTACCGCGTTTCGCATACCGCACTACCAGCGGAGAACATAGCGACAGTTGCGCACACAGGGACAAGGACAGAGAAGAGGAACACGTAGACGACAGACAAGTCCGCTTGTCTGTCGTCTACGTGTTCCTCTTCTCTGTCCTTGTCCCTGTGTGCGCAACTGTCACTATGTTCAATAACTACCAACTCGCCCAACTGTCTACTCTACTACCAGCGGAGCTTTTGAAGCATGCTTTTAAACGCGTGCCCGCGTGGTACCGTGACGGCGGTACGCGGTACAAATGGTACGGTACGCGTGTGAAGTCCCCAATAATGGGGTGATAGTTTTGAAATAGACTTCAGGGCCCCTACCTAGTGCTCACGGTCTTTTCTTTAGGTGACCGCTTGCTTCACCCTCGACTTTTCACGTTTATTTTTTGTGGCTTTTATATTAAAGGTGATTCACCACTGTAGGAACCGAGTCAATCTGCGCAATGCACACTCATGTCAACAATTTTTGTTTTTATCATTGTGTGTACAGTGTCATTCGACTGTACTCTTGCCGAGTGTTCAAGTACCGTCCTAAGGTGGTCAACACATTGAGTACGCTTATTCTGACGGGTGTTAGATCAGCCGCTCGTCGACCTTTTCTCGTCGTAAAGCGTGAATGGTGCAAACGCCACAGCAGTGAGCAGCAAGCTTTTTTGCATGCTTATGCCCGCGCCTTGCACTCCGCAACGCTGCGTGAGAGCCACCCACGCTTTTATTTGTTATTCTTACAGCAGGGAAGGGCTGTCGTTAAAACCACTATATTGGTGGAAAGTGCTCATTTGGGATACTAACCTAAATGGTTGATGCCGGCCAGTACTCTTTCCAACTAAAATGCAAGAGTCGAAGTCATATTCACGCTAACAGTGTCGTGCAGCGTATTATCAATCGGCATGGATCAAAGTGGCGATGCAGGTGAATTGGTTCATGATGGAGCTGGAAACAGCTGCACAAATAGCAGAAAAAGAAGGTGTAGATGGGACAAGTGCTGAACTTCCTACGGATTATTTAATAAAATAAAAACAAAAAACATCCAACTAATTATCCACAAACTATTATGGTGCAGTGAAGAATGTTCTTTGCACTCGGAAATGACAATGACGGAAATGACACAACTCCGCTGTGCTCGCTGAGCGGAGCCGGGGGACCCTCACTAAAGCGCTTCCCGTTTCCTTCGTGAGGGGGCGAGCAACGAGCTAAAAATGCGAATAGCACACTTGGTCGCCAATCCCTCCTCAGAAAATGGCGTCTGATACAACGTCAGATCTCTAATTAATAATTGTGTCGGTATTGGGATCATCACTGCTGTGGTGACACATGGCACAGACCCCTAATTAACATTCACGTTTATTAGAGTAACTAAATGGCAAAGCCAGAGAATAGCTTTGCTCTTCCTTTTGCCTCCAAGTTATCGTTGGCAGAGAAGGGACGACATGTGCCAAATTTATTCTTCCACGCTTTAGGGGAAGCTGTTTTGCACTTGTGAGATGTAGATCTTGCATTGAAATGTGACAAGCCAAAAGCTTCTTGAACCTTGGTACATTGTGTATGCCACATATATATGTGACATTGCCTTTATTTTCGCAATGTGAGCTGTGCAGTTTTGAAACGGTCGTGAGCCAGCAGACAACAAGAACAGAGCGTGCGTCGCCGCACATGCTCATCCGGCGCATGTGCGGTGGTTCTCTTGCGTTGTCAATGTTTTCATTTCTTGCATTACGTCAAGCAGAAGATGAGCTTGTTGAGATACTTTGCAACCGGAGCATATACAGTTGAGACCCATTCGCACAGCAGCACTTTTTTACTTTGTCTTACGTTATGTTATGGCTCACCTGTACATCCAAGCTTCGAATGTCACGTGCAAGCTACCTCCTGAATTGGTTGCCATGCTTCATGATACGAAGCACAGATGTCCCAGTGATTCTCAACTTAAGCCGGCTGTTGTGACTGAACTGATGTCTACATTATACTAGCACTGCAACAAAAATAAAAACTTGTTTTAAAAGTGAAACCCACCCCTAAGCTTTTGTAAGTCAGATGGAATAGGCTACCCCCCTTACTAGGGGCACAGGTATTGCTTTTTATTGTTCCTTCATCTTTATAAACCTTGTTAGGCTGATGCACTTGATGGCTTTGTTCTTAATTAGTGCTGTTGCTCTTCGTGTTTGATCCCAGGCTTCTCAAGTGGTCTCCTGCCTCCTTTGTCGTCCTGTGAGTCGTCGTACGAACCTGACCCAAGGAAGCAGTTTCTATGGAACCGATTCAGTCCTCAAGTTGCGGTAAGTCGTTTTTTCCCACATGTTCTATGAACCAAGGACAGGGCACTCTCTAGAATGCAGGTAGTCTTCCCACCTTTGTTCTGGAAAATGGGCAAAATAGAAAGTCACTAAGGAAGACAGCAAAGGAAGCAGAAAAAGGAATGTGTCAGGCCAGAATGGAAAACATAGGATTAAGGAAAGTGAACATTTCTGACAATTCAAAAAAGGAAGTTTATTGATATCAGAGGCAAGGAGAGCTACATTAAGAAGTAGGACTTCTAGGTCGACTCCAGGCATGGCGAGAACGACACAAATACATGCAAGATGTGGAGAGGTAAGGGAGACGGCTGAATGTAAGTATGGAAACCTTGATAAATACATGGACAAAGGAGGCATCCTTTTTTCTTGCATTGTGATTTGAGAGGGGTGGAGAAAAAGAAGAAGAAATATTGTTATTTTAAAAGATTGAAGTGGACAAGGCTGAGGGAATGGCAGGAAGGGGCGAGTGAAGTGATTTAGGGATAAAGGGAGGTGTTTTATTATGATATGCTAATATGGTAGAGTTATTACTGTAGTATAGTAGAGGGAGGGTTCAACAGCATGGTGTATTGCACTGGTCCGTTCCGTTTACATTGTATCTAACTGTTGGCGATGCCAATAAAAAATAAGAATGTACATTTTTTTATTTATTTTATGCCAAAATATGTGCGAAGAGTAGGGCTGCGCAAATATTCTAATTTTATGATAGTAGTTTAAAAAGTAGTTTAAAGTAGTATGTTATTTGATATTTGCTTCCAAGTGAACTGCGATATTAATACTTTTCGGAGTGTTGATTGCGGCAGGTTAGCCCCCTTGAGTGTGCTTCTCCTCAGGCACTGGTGCACTGTGGAAAAGCGATACCGGTGAAGCGCGCACAATGATCTCACGACTTGCTCCGCTGCAGCGGAGCCCCGCGTGCCTGGTATATTAAAAAAAAAAGACAAAAAATAGGATACTTTCTGGTTGTTGATATTACATTGCAGTAAAATCTCCAAAATTTAAGTGTGGCTATTCTGCAAGGGAATATGGTATGCAGCAATGTTTGAAAAACCTGTGTTCATTTGTTGTGCTTGTTTCTTTTTTAATCCAGAATCAAAGAAAATATTTTCATGTAGCAAGAATATTTATAAATCCCCTCAATAGTGTATGGCTAGGCTCCCTTATAGGTTTTAACTCTATGTCAACTCTGTCGTCTACTTTCATCCAATGTAGGTTCTAGACTTCCCAGGCTACAGTCTATAAATATAGCTAGATTAAATTTAACAGGGCTCACGAGTGGCCAATTAGGAGCTTAGGAACAACCTTCGCGAGTTAGCTGAATTTTCGTTTCAGCATGGTGTAACGGTAGTAAAAGGCGTGGAGAAAGGTGCCACAACTCCTCAGTACTCGATTCAAAAATATTTGGCCAAAACCAGTCATCGGTTCTTGTGCGAATGGTGCTCACATCAATCGCACTGAATAGCTAGCACTAGTCGTGATTGGTTAGAGTAGCTATGTGCTCCGCTCAGCTGCTATATGAACACTAGCAGGTGGAATACAAGCGAGGGCAGTGTGAGACACGTTCAACACAAAAGTCTCCGTCTGATGTCAAAGTCGCAACAATTACTTCACCATGATATAAACCCTTTTACAAAGTAGCCAAAAACATGTTTTTACGTCAAATAGACTGAAGACACCATCGGTTCTCCTAATAGGCTAATTGGGATATCTGCAAAATTTATGGCGAATGATTGTTCGATAAATAAATAAATATCGGTAGAGGCCAGGTCTTCTGTAGGTATAACACTTTAGTCTCCCAACATTTCAAAATCTGGAGTTTTTTTTCCCTTAGGCTAACTTTCGAAGAGATTGTATATAACTTTACGACATGAAAGTTTAAAATTGTCTGCTCCAAGAGTGGGAATTTCTGCTCCAAAACCCGTTTTGCCCTGCTACGAGAGCTGCTCCAAATCACCGCTTGTCAGTTCCACCACTTCAGTGGCTATGGATGAATATATGAACACAGCTGAATAGCTATGGATGAATAGATGGATACAGGAAAACCTTTGTGAATTGGGCGGCATCTCTAGGTGCGCCCTCATAATGCTTTCAGTGAACGCCGCTACCTTCGTGGGCGTGGTAATAGTATTTGTGTTGATGTTGTATTCAACACACGAGCACTTGGCGAATGCTGTGGCGGCGGTGGGGCGACGGGCAGGATGGGTTCGAGGGAATGGTGCAGTCGTGTGGTGGTTCAGTCCCTGAACACTTCGATTAAAGGGAAGATGGGGTGGTTTTGCATTTGAGAAAAAACACTTCAATTGTGTTCACTTGGCCGTTAGAATAACAGATATCACAATTATGTTTCAATGCGGCGCGCCAAGAGCCATAAGAACAATTTCAAAATAAGGCTGAAGCCCCGCCTCCCTAGCCTTGGGCAGCCAAAAGATCCGTCGATGACGTCACGTACAGCGACTGTCTTTCGCGTTTTCTCGCGTTTCACAATGCTTGCGCAGCAAATGGGTTGGGTATTTGGGTTCATGGTGTAAAAATACACTAGAATTCACTTCTAACTCATTTTTTTCAAGAAGCTCCGTAGCTTCCCTTTAAAATCTAAGACAGTAACAATTCTGGACTAGCATGCAGGACAGATACGTAGGTGTTACAACTGATGTATGATTGATAGGCCATCTATTAAACCAGAATGAGTATTTCTATGACTAAGAAAAACAATGTGAAGAATAGAATTATCTATTGTGCAGTCATCAACTCCTTGGTCTATGTCAAATGACATAGCGATATCTATAAGTGCAGTGTGTACTTTTACCATGGCTACCAACTATTAGGATTTTTTACTTTACGTCAGATGCATTAGCATTTGTCAAAACAAGTTTAAAATGTAAAAAATTATGCTTAGTAACAAAACATACCTGGAAAGTTGCCTAGCGGCTCTATAAGTGGCTTTAACAAGAAAGTTCTTGACATGCACTTTGCAGTACAGACTGGAATAGGTAAATTGGGAAACAGAAAGCTAACCCCAGACCTGAAAAATAACACTGTATATGCTCTAAACTTATAAATTATTGCACTGTATATGCAGTAATCTTATCAGTCTCACTTGTCTCCCCATATATCTTACAATTATATTCTTTGTGCATATTTTATGAGAGGAAAATTATTTTTCAATGCCGCCAAGCACTGGCATCGCATGTGGTGGCAGTGCAAAGATGTGCACTTGTTTCTCTGGTGTGTGGACTTGAAATCGACTTATCGACTTGAAATCTAGAAAAATCTCGGTGTACGAGAAACATCTTTATAATACAAACTGTCACTGCGAATTTCGATGATTTAACCAAAGCTGGAGAGATCAAGTTGAAGCTCCTAATTTAATGGACCGAAATGGCTACCGTATGGGTAGCCGAGTGACTTACTGCCGAGGTCAGCTAGGCGATGTGATTTTTAAGATTGTGCTACCTTTTTTGGTGGTTTTGCAGAAACAAGAGATCATGCCTCAAACATGCGTCCTTGGGATATTACAGAAGATGTACCGTATTTGCACGACTAATCGTTTCGCCGAAGTTATCAGTGTTTCGTGCTGACCCAGGTGCTTGAGTGAGACTTCTTGAAGTGAAGTAGTGTGCTTAGCAGCTGTCGCAAGTGTCAGTGATGGGAAGCCATGCGGGATTATGGCTTTCATAGCGCGGTTCTTTCGTTTTCCTCTTTGCTTGCTTAGTGTGTCTTTTTCTTTTTGTTTTTTTTTGCGCTTGCGCGTGGAAATGCTGACTTTTTGGAGATGTCAGATGCGTGATCCCGACAGTGAGCCTTCCACCAGCCATGTCGCCCCGAAAGGAATGCTTTTGGCCGGAGGCAATCGGGCGTTCGCGTAGCGACAAACGTGTCCAGTTACGTTCTTGTCATATCGCTCCGGAGGCCGTCGAGATTCGCACCGGGTACCCCGGGTGCATTGAACCTGGCACAGCCAGGTGATTACGGAATAGCTGTCTGCAGAGGCCTTCGGACGTCTGAATTCTGCGTTAGCCGACAGATTTTTTTTTCTCGGCTTTCGAACCTCTTACGTAAAGTTGTTTGAATGAATGTGTACTGTTATCGTAAATCTTGGCTTGTGATCGCGGCTTTGTAGATTATCTTATTCGTTTTGCTGGAGAGACGCAAACGACGGGCATAACAAAATCGGTTGCATATTCCGCATACCTTGCAAAAGCACTTCCCCAGTCACCTTACGAAACACGGAGTCCGCACCATCCCGACTTCCCAGTCTTTTACCTGCTTTAGAGCGGTTTGTACCTGTTATTAGGTATGTTAACTGAAACTTGAAACTAGGGGCAGTGGCCGGAGAGCAAAGAGACAAAGTTTGGAAGGCTTGCTTGCCCTCCCCAATTTCTGAACTTTCAAGTGATTATACCGTAATAAATGCACGCCTCTTCCCAAAATAAAAAAAGCACTATGTTCACTACGTAAACAATGGTCTCAGTTCACGCATCTGTGGGCAGGTAGGAAATCTTGCACAAATTTATTCACACCGCACGATGAGCGCAACATGTCGCTGTGCAAACGCAGTCCAACACGAAGCATAAAAACGGCATATATAGGACAACAATTCGGAGTTCATTGTTCAATTAAAACAACGTAATTTTGTTGAAAACGCCCGCAGCTTTTTACTCACGGTATGCGTCGGGAATCTTCCACATTTTGAAACGGAACGAAGGTTTACTTTTAAAAACGCGCGCTGCGTCCTCCCGGACCAGTTTGACTGGATCAGCTGACGAGGACGGGACTGAACCCGCCAAGACCGCAACCCCACAACAGCCAATTTGCGCTCCGTGTTAGTCTACTTCTAAGCGCTGCACCATACACACCACGAACATTTCAGTTCTTCGTCGCATCACCGTGTTGCACCACACAGAACGAGATCGCAGAAGTCAACGTAGTGTCATGAACGTTGGCTTGTGGTTGCACACTCGTGGAACCTGTGACTCTCTTCGCTTTCAAAGCACACACGACGATTACGAATGATACTTTCCGTCTTCAGAAAACATCACAGGGGCACTTCTCCGGTCACGTCTTCACTATGTGCTCATAAACCTTCGCAGCTTCTCGTGTACCGCCAAACCAAAACAATACCCGGCGCCATGTTTAACTTGCGTTGTTGCCCGTTGCCAGATCTTACCGGAAGTCGAGTCGCTGCGTCGTTCAACTCAGCAGCCAAGTCAACAAAAAAGCAAATCCAAGAGTGAGGGGCGGGGCGTAGTTCTCCTCCGTGGGGGTCCAAAAAGCGGGAGTTTCAAATGTGGAGAGGTTCTGACTCCGACTAAATTACATCATGTGACGTAAATATTGCTAAAACAAAATATCTTTTTCACGGAACATTTGTTTTGTGACATGCTTGTCCCAATTAGGCTGTTTAAAAAAAAAATTTTTCTTTGCAGTTACCCTTTAAGAGGTTCTAAGAGGTCGCAGTTTCGTTTACTTGTGTTAGCCCCAATGAAGATGAGATTTTGCAATTTTAGGGGGAAAAAAAAAGAAATGAGGTCTCGCTTGCATTATTTTCGCTTCATTGCACTTGGTAGTTTCAAAAGGTTTGAATTAGCTTTTTTTGGGCTCTTTAATGTTTTGCATGTCTATTTAATTCAGAACAGGAAAAACAAGCTGATCAAAACATCAGATTTATTAAAAGAGGGGTCAAGCACTATAACTTGAAAGTTTTCCTCAGTTATAACTAATATTACAAATGCCCCCTTGTGCATGCCTCCTTCAACATACTCAATGCTGTTCATGCTAATAGAATGATGGGAATCGCATCCGCTGTGCGATCTGCTGTACCGGTACGTCTGATAAGCAGGTTCCTGCATTTTGGTTCGCGATCTGCGCGCACGATATCGGGTCCTGTGACACACGAGTTATTCCCGCGTTTATGTCATTGTAAAATTAAAATCTACTGTGTCTGCGATCTGCGGTATCCATTCCCGTGGCATGAGCACATAAGACTTTGCAGCAGACTTCCGCGTTTTGTCCGTGACCTGCGTGTGCAGTATGGATTCCCGTAACACGCGAGTTAGTTCGGCTAGTGTATTGCATCGTGAAATACAATTCCGCTGTGGTATTTGTTCTCATGACAAATGAGTTTGTAGCAGATTCCCACGTTTCTGCCTGCGATCTGCATGCGCGATATCTCTTCTCGTGACACAAAAGTTTGTAGTGGGTTCTTGCGTGTTTATTGCACCATAAAACTTGTACCCCCTGCGTCTGCGATTTGCAGTATTACGATTTGAGATACGAGTTCTCGGCGAGCTCCTGTGGGTTCTTTGCATGGTAAAACGAGAATCTGGTGTCTCTGCAACCTGCGATATCCTTTCCCGTGACACAGGAGTAGCAAATTCCCATGTGTTTATCGCATCGTGAAACGCGAATTTACGGTGCCTGCGATCTGGTGTATCACTTCCTGCATCACATGGCTTGTAGCGGGTGCCCCTGTGTTTATCATTATTTTTGATAGTTTATGCTCTGGAACCCCCAAAGATAGCCCACCTCATGTTTTTCACAATTTATCTCCATTTTTGGTGGGCGTTCTTTCAGAACTTTATGGTAGTATTGAAACCGATTCAGTATCTTGGTTGAGCTCTCCATGTGTCTCCCTTATACTCTTATTTTAGGAGATGAAGCTGCACTGTTGGGGAAGACCAGCTGCCCTCTGAAAGCCACTGAGGACATCTGGTTTGGATGCTGTACCTGCACCTACTTCACCAGAGATCAGCGTGAAATTGTGAGCCACTTGGTTGCCCATGGTGATGAACAAGTCAAGTGCCACCATCCTTCCATATTTTCTTGCTCTAAGTTCAAAGTGCACTCCAACGCTCAAAAGCACGAGAGTAGTAAGCTTTTCAAATGCCATCTGTGCCCCCAAGCCTTTGCTCAAGATTCCCAGCTGAGAACCCATAATCAAACACACATTGGTGAAAAACCTTACAAGTGCAAGCTGTGTTCCAAAGCCTTTGCTCACAGAAGCACTCTAATCAACCACAAGAGAACCCACAGTGGTGAAAAACCTTACAAGTGCAAGCTGTGTTCCAAAGCCTTTGCTCACAGAAGCACTCTAATCAACCACAAGAGAACCCACAGTGGTGAAAAACCTTACAAGTGCGATCTGTGCCCCCGAGCCTTCGCTCATAGCGGAGGTCTGGTCTACCACAAGAGCACACACACAGGTGAAAAGCCGTTCAAATGCAAGCTGTGCCCCCAAAAGTTTGCTTTCAAAAAGAATCTGACGTACCACATGAAAACGCACTCAGGTGTAAAGCCTTTCAAGTGTGAGCTTTGCCCCCAAGAGTTTACACAGAGTTCCTCTTTGAAAAGCCATGTTCGAACACACAGTGGTGAAAAACCTTATAAGTGCAATCTGTGCCCCCAAGCCTTTGCTCAACATTCCCAGCTCCAAAACCATAATATAACACACAGTGGTGAAAAACTTTACAAGTGCGAGTTGTGTTCCAAAGCCTTTGCTTACAGGGGTGGTCTGAACTACCACAAGAAAACACACACAGGTGAAAAGCCATTCAAGTGCCAACTGTGTCCCAAAGCCTTTTCCGAGAGTTTCAATCTGAAAAAACATATTCAAAAAATGCACACAGATGAAAAACTTTACAAGTGCAAGCTATGTTCCAAAGCCTTTGCTCGGAAGTCAGATTTGGGACGCCATAATCAGACACACAATGCTGAAAAGCCTTTTAAGCCTTTGCTTCTCAGGCCTTTGTTTCCCAAGCCTTCTCAAGCCTGTTCTCAAGCCTTTGCTAAAAATAGCAATCAGATCTATCAAAACCAAACACACACGTGAAAAGCCATTGAAGTGCATGCTCTGTCCCAAATCCTTTGCTCGGAAGTGCAGTCTGACACATCATAATCCCACACACAGGTGAAAAGCCGTATTGCCGAGGCTCTTGGGTGGTCTGGGGATGTTCATGTTCCAGGCAGGAAGGACAAGCATACTTTGGCCCCCTGCATGTAGATGGTGGTGTGTCAGGTCACACTTCCTAGGCTAGGGTACATTGTTCGTACCGTTGGTTATGAATGATGTGTATGTAGCAGTACCAATGTGCTTGTTTTAGTTTTGTTGTGCCGCTTCAAGAGTACATTGACAAAAGGTGTTGAGAGCTTGGAACTGATTTTAACACACTCATATTTACTGTATTTTCACCTTCCTTTTCTTCGCTAAAATTTTCGTAATCACTTATTATACGATACCTGCTTTACGACATCACTTTGTATGGTTCAGTTGGTCTATATATTTTGCTAGTCTGTGTTCTTGGGCCTTACGGTTGTTCCCGTGTTGCCTGGCCCTCCGCATCATAATTTGCATACCGTAGGTGTCATTTTATTTCGTATGCCTTTTGCTCGTATTTTTGTATAACACTGAATAGTAGTTGGTTTCTAAGCTGTCCTAATGGCAAACATTCTTATATTTTTGTAACAAAATGAGACGTGTCGGGCCAGCTATCTCTCGAGGAATACAAATTCAGCCACGATTTTGTTTGGGTTGCAGTGTCCCTTAAATTGCTGCTCTTTGAGTGTTTATTTTTGGATTGTGTAATACATCTGTGAAATATGGCGCCATTGCTGGCGTTTCTTTCTTTTTTTTTTTGTTACCTTGTTGTCTTCAGCAAAATCTGCAGATGACAAATCTGTTATTAGACATATGTTTTGCTGTTTCTCAGAAATAAAGGTTGACAGTTCAGCTTTGGCAGTGTTATAATTTTTTTTTTAGCCGTTGCAAATTTTTGATTGAAGTAAATGTGCCACTGGCTTAGTATCTCTTTAGAAAGCAAATATTTTGCCATCTTGCACCATAATGGGATCTCGTAGCAGCAGTTTAATCGCCAGGAAATTAACGGTTAAGTGAATGTACACATTGCAGCACATAGATTGGCAGTTTGTGCTGCTGATTGGTTGCCTAATTTCAGCTTTCCTAAAGCTTTTGTTCAACATAATAATCTAGCTCTCCACACTCAAGTTGATATGCACAATAAACATTATGAATGCCAGCAATGTCCCAGGATATTTTCTGACCAACACAGCTTCACAACCCAAAGGGCGTGTATGGAACAACACTGGCTGGGATTACACCTTTCCAATGCCAGCAATGTCCGAGAACATTCGGTCGGAGTTTAACCCCTTGCCTACTAATAACGAGTGTCACTCGTGCCGCCATTTACGGACCATAAAACCCGACCACGAGTGTGACTCGTGTTTCGGTTTCAGAGCTTGTTTTGTGAGCTCTGCGGCAGATGGCAGCACTACCCCTGTTGCTCCTGTTTACCTTGGGTTCTTTTCTTGTTTGCTTTGCCTTTTGACAGAGAGAGGGCGCTCCACTGACAAAAAATAAGCGCGCTATTGTAAGCAAGCGCGCCAAAAAGATGTCTTCAGCGCGGAGGTCTGCTTTGGCGGACGAAGATATACAAAGACTTCTTTTTGAAAGTGATGAATGCGCCAGTATTTCCGACGACAAATCCTGCTGCCTTTCCGATTACTCGGAATCCGATGAGAGTTCAACGGACAGTGAGAAAAGTGTTGAAAACGATGCGAATCTTGAAAGCATTTCATCGACTTCGGCGTCTGCACGTCAGTGGAACTGGGAGAAGAGGGACAACCAGCCTGCTCAGTTCACCTTTGTAGAAACCCCAGGTGTGTCAGCAAGGGTTCAACGCAGTCTTAGTGAGAAGACAAGCGCCTTGTCGACCTTTTCCGTGTTTGCAAGTCATGATTTTTGGGCGTCTGTCTCTGCTGAGACAAATCGCTACGCCGAACAAGAGATGGGCGACGAGGATCGTCCCAAGAAATGCTATGAGGAGCAATGGTTTGACACCACTCCGGATGAGATAAAGGCATACTTTGCCTTGTGCATCATTATGACGCAAGTGAAAAACACACAGTCAAAATGAACTGGTCCAAAAGGTCCATAGTGGAGACCCCAATTTTCGGCAAAACGATGTCCTATGTGAGGTTTCTGCTAATCTCTCGATTTCTATCATACTGCGAAGAACTACTGAAGAAGAGGAGATGACCAGAAGTCCTGGTATAGAGCACGAGATACGCCTGAAAGCCAAGGAAACGTTTTTCTTTATTTTGATGCAAATTGCTTGATTTAAATAAAGCTTTCTGTACGATCTTTAAAGAAAAAAAATGAGTAGGCAAGGGGTTAAGGTCGGTTGGCTACATGCATTTTCTGCGTGCAGAGCGTGAGAAGTGTTAGGCTTTCTGCATAAACCTTTAATTTAAATGGCAGTCTTTCTCCGTTCATGACAGTATTGTCAGGGTGTCTACTAACCGGGAATTCTCAGGGATTTTGAATAGTCTGGAAGATCTCAGGGAAAACTCAGGGAATTAGTGCTTCTATCAGGGAATTTCTTTTTTATTTTTATTTTTTTTAAGTGTTGCAGATGGATTCTCACAGTCCAAAATTCTTCAGATATCAATGGGATGGGCCAAACGTACAGATTGCGACACTGTTAGCACGAACAGTTGACAGGCGTCAGATTCATACCCGTGGCGCCACCTAGCCGCTTCTGATGGCGAACCTTGCCAATGCACAGAAACATTATAGGGTTCGAGAGTACCATGACCTGCTCTAAAACAATGTTCAGACCGGCTCATTTGAGGAGCTCGGGTTTGTTTTTCTCGCGATTTTGTATTTTGTCTTGTCTGCTTTGACATTCTTCGTCCGTGTGCCCACCATGTCTGGTGTTTCTGTTCTCTGCGTCCTTAGCTACGTCTGCTTCGGGTTCTGTCGTGTTATTTTAGAGGTGAATTTCGTCAAAGTGCCCGCTTCAACTAGCGGTCGTAGGGGACATTTTGGCGTCCGCTTTGGCGTTTTCGGGTTGTCGGTGCTCTTTCTTGACGTCGCGTCTCTCCAAAGGGAATATCGTTGAAGTGCTCGCGACAGCTAGCGTTCGTAGGGGACATTTTGGCGTCCGCTTCGGCGTTTTCGGCTTGTCGGCGCTGTCTCTTAACGTCTCATCTCTCTGAGGGGAATGTTGTCGAAGTGCTTGCGTCGGCTAGTGGTCGTTAGGGGCTTTTTGGCGTCCGCTTCGGCGCTTTCGGCTTGACGGCGCTCTTTTATGACGTCCTGTCTCTCCAAAGGGAATGTCGTCGAAGTGTTTGCTTCGGCTAGCGATCGTAGGGGACTTTTTCTCGTCCGCTTCGGCGTTTTCGGCTTGTCGGTGCTGTTTCCTGAGTCGCGTCTCTCTGAAGGGAATATCGTTGATTTGCTCGCATTGGCTAGCGGTCGTAGGGGACATTCTGGTGTCCGCTTCGGTGCTTTCGGCTTGTCGGCACTGTTGCTTGACGTCTTTGTTTACCTTGTTTACCTTTTTCTTTCCCTGTTATTGCTCCCGTTTTTCTTCTAGAGCGCAGCCCTTAGGCACCCGTTTCCGGCTTGAATGGCGTCGCTGTCAGCGTAACCGTGAGGTCAGGTGACCCCCCCCCCCCCCCTGAAGTCACATGACTTCATGGGGGGGGGGGGGGGGTCATGTGAACCTCAGTTTACCTTTTTTTTATATTTTATTCGCCATAAATTTTGCTAACCACTCCGTTCTGTTTTCGTTTTGAATATAATAAAAGTTACTCGTTACAATTAAAATTATTATGTTTTTTTTTATTTTATAACATGCTTTTTAGAGAGTGACAGCATCTGGCAACATGGTGTCAGCCCATCTTGACCTAAAACAGAGCTCTGTGTCACTCAGGGAAAACCTGGAAAACTCAGGGAATTTGAAAATGTCAACTTGGTAGACACCCTGATTGTGAACTGGATGTTGATTCCAATGTAGCAGTGCTGAAGCGGCGGGTCAGCCCTAACGGCAAATATTTTAAATTTTTTTTATTGGATTGAGATTGGCTACAGCAGGTAAGATTGGTTACAGCAGCTAAGTCCCCTGGAATACAAGCTCAGCCATGCTTTAGCTTTTTCTCTATAGTGTCCTTTGCACCATTGCTTGAAACTTGCAGTGTGATATTTCTTTTCAGCAAATGCAGATTTTGGTCTGCTGAAATAAATTTGGCACTGGCAGATAGAGTAGCTTTTTAGAGCATTCCAATTTTGTCATCGTCGGCATAGAACTTATTGCCAAATTGGTGTATGCAGAAATAGAACTGATGTGCCAATTGTGCCATTGTGCATTTATAATCACTTTTCATGCGCCACACTGACACAAAAGTAGGTATAAATAAGGACGAAATCACGCCAAGGTACGCCTGTCTCAGCTCGGAGAAAAAGCTTGCTCTGAGAACCTCCTGGGTTCGTTCCCCACCCCCGCCTGTTTTGATCTGGATGAGTTTCGTACTGGCACGCGTTTCTGCAATCACTACTGCGTGATGCACATTAAAACCGCAGGTTAGCAGTTGTACTGCACTTTCTAAATTTCTCATCTACAGCTAAGCGACCGTTCACCCGTTGAGGCATACCAACATCAAGGCTGTACGAATATACAAGCAACACAATTTTTTTTCAAGGTGCGCCCCAACTGAAATTTTAAACGAGTCTCATCGAAATTAGCCGTCTCGGAGTTTCTGTTTGATGCACTGACACCGGAACTTCCGGCCCAAAGGGAATTCCGGTGGATCCGAATCCGAAGCTCTGTATCCGGAGGAATGTTGCTGCCATGGTTATACTTCGTTTCAGCTTAGAACAGTTGTTACAGCATCCCTCATTGCAATGCTTCTGCTACCAGACCTCTTTGAAGCCATTTGCTGCCGCTCTGCTTTATCTTAGTCCACACGCAGATGCTATGAGTGCAAGCTCCAAACTTTCCGCATCCCTGCCAAGAATGTGCGGTTGTGCAGCGCAAGCACTGTTCAAAGTCGCATTCTGGCGGTTGTTGCATCGGCTGCGTCCAGTCATATAAGTATGGCTGCCGTTGCTGTGTGCTTTTCTGGATTCCTGGAATCACTTCATCTGAATAGTGGAGCAAACAGCACTGCCATATTGCTATAAACTCAAATGTATTTAAGCTTGCACTCCTCCCTCTTGGCTGTTTTTGCGTGACTATAGATGTTTCCACTGTTTACAAAAATCGCAGTTCCCACGTGCGAAATCCGAGTCCAGCCAGGGTTCGCTCGCAATTGCAGCCAGCCTAAAACTTCGTCCATAACACGAAAACACATCACTGAATGCGCCCGAATACGCATTAATGGAAAGGTGTATTGCAAACCCCCAGCCCGCTTTGGCCCGCCCCGAGGGCCCACGCAGAAAACTTCGGAACATAAGAAAGGCGAGCGAGCGGCGAGGCGTATGACGGAGCAAGGTACGAGCTGAAAGCTGTGTCTACCTCTCTGTTTATATTTACCTCTTTTGCAAGCCGGTTCCATCACGTGTCACACTGTCGTGCAGTTTTGCTTTATATGTTTTGTGTAATTTTCGTATAATTTCGAGAGAAATGTTTCAAATAAAACTAATTAAAACTGCCTTTCACATGGAGTTATCAGCATGCCATATTTCTTTGAATTTTGAAGACCAGGTGACACTTAGCTTCTATTTTAACATTCTTAAAACTCGTATGCTGCTCCCAACTTGCTTTAAGACCTCGTTTTTGCTGCTCCCAGCCTGCTACAAACTAGTTTTTTATGCTTCAAAGATGCTTTGCTCAGTTCCATCCCTGGAGTGTGTGGCGCAATAGTGGAGAATTTTGGTGCCAATTCCAACAGTAGCGAGTTTTAGAATAGGGGCCGCCAACATTAAGCTGCCCC